GCAAATGTTATGATTGGCTCCTATTTGTATTTGTGACAGACCAAAACCCTACATCTAAGTGCCCCTGAGCTTTGAAGCGTTTGAAAGCTGGATCAAGATCCAAATTGTGTGATTCTAGTTTCTTGCATTGAGACATGTTTCTCGTTGAGTTTAACGACTGCTGAGCCGCATAGCTGGGATATAGTAGATGGCATGAAAGGTGCCATTCACTGATTTCAACTCCATTGTTTCACTGAGCTCCTCTCATGCATCTGGTCACTGTTGTGTGTGTCTAGCAATAATTAACATTTCTTCATGGTCCAAAGCCAACACTCCATTCCGTGTTATCTTCCTTTGCCCTCTGGAGAGGAGGCGGTGCTTTGATTGGATGCACCAAGTAATTAGAGGTACAATGAAGTGCCATGTTAATCAGAGAGAGCGTGAGGATGGAGTTTGTCCTGAGGTTAAGAAGGAAAGAAAGGCAGATAGAAAGATAAGAGCTTCCTGCACGCGAGCTGCAGGCTCGGTGGAGCTGCCTCGAACCTGTCTTTCCTCTCAGTCTCTCGGCACAGCTGTCCCTTCATGTCCCCCTGCACTGGTGTAAATTACACTGGAGGAGTTGATGGCCGGATCCCCTTGCCCCAGGGCTGGGTGGATCCCTCTGGGAGAGAGTGCACCCAAGAGAGGAGGGGGACAATGGCAGGACATTCAGGTCACAGGAGACAGCCTTGGGGAAAGTGGGAGGGTGTGGGATGAGAGAGAGAGGGGGGAGAAAAGCCAAGGGATCGATTGTGGCCCCTCTGTGATGGCCCCCAAGACTCCTCCAACTGGTCCCAAGAGCTGCTTCAGCCCCTGCCGCAGCCCACAATCCTCTTGTTTCAGAGTAGCAGCCGTGTTAGTCTGTATCCGCAAAAAGAAGAACAGGAGTACTTGTGGCACCTTAGAGACTAACAAATTTATTAGAGCATAAGCTTTCGTGGACTACAGCCCACTTCTTCGGATGCATCTAATAAATTTGTTAGTCTCTAAGGTGCCACAAGTACTCCTAATCCTCTTGTTGTGGACTGTGCCTTCTGTCTCCCAGGAGGCATCACTGCACACCCTTCACAGGTGATGTGCCCCCCCTCAGGGTCCAGCAGCCGGAGAGGAGGCACCTAGAAATACCAGGCACAGGCCATAATCCACCCACACCAACTGCTCCTGGTGGGAATGATAGGCTGGCTTGGATTGCTGGCAATATAGGTGTTTGCAGCTGGCTCAGCTGGTGGACTGGAGCCAGCTGGAGGGTTCTGGAGTCCCTTCTCGGCTCAGCTGCCAATAACACGTCCCCTTCCCATTTCTTGCAGATGGCACATTAGGGCCCAGTGATATATGGACAGGAAGTGGTGTTGGGAACTAGCCTTCTGTTTTTGGATTCCCATCTTCCTCTGCTCACAAGACACATGCTGAGAGGTCTCCGCCAGCTCCTTGCAGAACTGGTAGGGTCTAGTGGACCAAACAGAGGCTCGGGAAGCAAGAACTCTCTCTGCTCTGCTTCTGACTTGCTGGGTGACCTTGGGCAAGTCCCTTAGCCAGTCTGTGCCTTGATTTCCCCATCTGTAACCTGGGGGCACTAGCGCTCTCCTAATTCCCAAGATGTTGTGTGGCTCAGAGAATGACTAGACAGTGCTTCAATTGGCCTTGGATGAAAGGCACCTGCACACTTTAAGGGACGCACCGTACGGGGCCTCCTCTTTTGTGGGCTCTTCAGCATGCACCCCTGGCCAGGCACCTGGGGTACAACCCTGCTCCCATTCACATCAATGATCCAGGTCTAATAGTCTTCAACGATCCAGGTCTAGATCTGACAAATTCATTTTAATTCACCCGCTGCCATGGTGCTAGTGGAGAATAGCAGTGATGCATAACTTTGGATTTTATAATTTTTGGCCTAAACATGAGCATTCACTCACATCAGCATTGAGTTCCTGGTTGGACAAGCCATTTGTAAAGAGGGCCAAAAAAAAACCCCACCCCCTTATTCTAACACCACCATCTTCCTCTCCGTACTAGGCCTAGGGGGAGGAAGATGGCCCAGACCTAGCTCCGAGCCGATGTCCTGCCCCGCCACAGGCTTCCTCTGTGACCTTGGGCAAGTCACTTAGGATTTTCATTGCAGATTAAGCCCAGGTGCCTGGCACCCAGGTCTGACCACCTGGGTTAGCCTAGCCTTCCTGTGAGCAGCCACGGCAAAGCCCTGAATGCATTACTGTGTCCACACTGCTAACCTGCTGGTTGCTAAGACTTCTGGGGGCACATCCCATGGTTCTTAGCACTGCAGTGAACTGATTGGCTCTATGATTCTTTCCCAGTGAATTGTGGGACAACTTATCGGTCCTTCTGGGCATGTGTGCAGGGGATTGTGGGAAGGCACTGGAGGACTGTCTGTTTCCAGGTGAGTTAGCCTGCATCCTTGCTGCAAAGTGCATGGGTTACCAGCCCCAGTGAAAGCAGTCCCTCGCCCGCCCCCCGGTGCGTCAGACTGCTCTCACAGCAGGGCCAGCTTGCCTGGCTTGAAAGCACCACCATATGCAGGTGAGAGGGTTTTGTGTGTGGACACGAGGAGAGGTGGGGGGATCATAGAATATCAGGGTTGGAAGAGACCTCAGGAGATCACCTAGTCCAACCCCCTGCTCAAAGCAGGACCAACCCCAACTAAATCATCCCAGCCAGGGCTTTGTCAAGTCAGGCCTTAAAAACTTCTAAGGATGGAGATTTCACCACCTCCCTAGGTAACCCATTCCAGTGCTTTACCACCCTCCTACTGAAATAGTGTTTCCTAATATCCAACCTAGACCTCCCCCACTGCAACTTGAGACCATTGCTCCTTGTTCTGTCATCTGCCACCACTGAGAACAGCCGAGCTCCATCCTCTTCAGAACCCCCCTTCAGGTAGTTGAAGGCTGCTATCAAATCCCCCCTCACTCTTCTCTTCTGCAGACTAAATAACCCCAGTTCCCTCAGCCTCTCCTTGTAAATCATGTGCCCCAGCCCCCTAATCATTTTCGTTGCCTTCCGCTGGACTCTCTGCAATTTGTCCACATCCCTTCTGTAGTGGGGGGGGGAGGGGGGCCCAAAACTGAATGCAATACTCCAGGTGTGGCCTCACCAATGCCAAATAGAGGGGAATAATCACTTCCCTCGACCTGCTGGCAATGGAACCAGGAACCTCCTACTAATACAGGCCAATATGCTGTTGGCCTTCTTGGCAACAAGGGCACACTGCTGACTCATATCCAGCTTCTCGTCCACTGTAATCCCCAGATCCTTTTCTGCAGAACTGCTGCTTAGCCAGTTGGTCCCCAGCCTGTAGCGGTGCACGGGATTCTTCCTTCCTAAATGCCAGAGTCAGAGCCTGAGTTAACACTCCAGTGACGACACATCCTTGGCCTGTCTGCTTCAGTTTCCCCATCTGTACAAAAGGGATGACAGCACTGCCCAGCCTCATGGGTGTTGTGAGGATGAACACATTACAGATTGTGAATTGACAAGTAATGGGGGCCATAATAGTATCTAGGTTAGATAAAAACAGGGGAAAGAAATTAAGATGGATATGGATCATTTAAGCCTTGGCTAGACAGAGCCATACACTCAGCTGTGGAAAATCAGTGGAGCTCCATTGTCTTCCGTTCACACCATCTGAGGCTCTGGCCCACAATTTTAAACTCCTAGACTATTACATGGATTTATTTTTAACTTTCCGGGAAATTCCGTCTGTACCCTAAAACCAGGCGTACAGTAGGATTTTTAGCCCCCTGTTAATTACACCCACGTAGCTGGCTCAGTGCAATCCCCTCCTGCAGCCACACTGCATTGGTATAAACGGTGTCTATGGTAGGGTTTTGCAGTGTACTAGTGGATGAAATCCCACTGGGAGGCAGCGTAGTCTAGTAGATAGGAGACCTCGTTAGGCATCGGGAGAACTGGGTTTGCAGTCCCAGCTCTGCTGTGTGATGGTTGGACAATCATGCCTTCCCCTCCCAATCGCATTTCTGTGCAGCTGGGAAGCTCCCGAGGGGATGGGCTGCATCTCTGTGATTGTGTAGCACTTGGCATGATGGAGCCCTGATCTCATTTGGGCCCTTTTGTTGCTATTGAGAATAACAGTGTAGGTGTGGGGTGAGAGTTGGACTTTTGCCACATACTCCACCGCACTCCTCACTCTCCAGCCAAGCCTCACCACTGGCTTCTCTACTCCTCTGTTAGAGGCATAACATCTTTAGCAGAACACATCTGAAGGCAGCCTCCATCCCCCTTAGAGTGGCAGTGTGTCTGTGTAAGAGCCTAGCCTTCTGTTTGTACATAACGAGCGCACTATGGTTTCCTTCACACGCCTTGGCTCTGTGGGAGCCAGTGCAGCCTGACAAGAGTTTCACTTATGCAGAAATTACAGGCGTTCATGCCTCTGTGCTAAAATCAAGGGTGGATTTCAAAACACCAGCTGCCACCTACTGGAGAGTTTTGTCTATGGAGTTCTCTGGAACCCCTGAGTTCGCTCTCCACGCATGGAATTCACTTGTCGGTTTAGTAACACTTAGACTGCAACCCATTAGCGGGCCTTTATTAGAGAGTATGAGGGGCTCATTCCCTTGTTCATGTTCTGACAACATTCTCCTCAGATCCAGCGAGCTGGAGAAGGAACCTGATAACTTTCCTCTGTTTGCAGTTATTTCCATTGCCATCTCTGGTAAGGGCATGCAAGACCAGATTCGTGTCATTTACAAGAGGAAAAGTGCAAAATGATAACAGCTTTGATTCACAGCTGCATTTCGCCCTTAGTATTTATGGACGTAACCTGTGCTCGCAGTTCCTTAGGATGAAATCCCAGGGCTAAGAGTGACACCAGCTCCCCAGGCGAGGAGGGCCCTGGATGTACAGTGAGCTTTTACTAATTGCCCTTAGTCTTCTGCCTCTCTCTTTCTACCAAGTGGGTTATTGGCAGTGGGGATCTGGAACCATAAGCTTCCGTTGTCTGAGCTAAAAGACCCAGCTGTAGCAGCCTCATCAACCTGCCATCGCTAGCGAGGGACAGAGCATCATACCGAGTAGGTGTTACACCGAGCTTTCTGGAGTAAGATTACACAGAGGGTCAGATCTGAAGTCAGGAAAGAATTCTCCCTTGGACACATCAGCAGGGATCTGAGATTTTATCCGCACCTGATTTTCTACTCACACTAGGGTAAACCAGGAGCAACCTCAGTGAAATCAACACAGTGACCCTGGTGTAAAACTGGAGTGAGAAGACAATCAGGCCCTCTGTGTTTTACTCCTTCCTTCCAGCTCATTTGCCCTACATTTCCCCTGGATATAAACTGCTGGCAGAAACTGAGCTGCTGCGGAGAAGCAAATCCAGGGCTTCCTCACTGCATCTGGAGAATGTCTCATCTTTTCCAAAGAGACAGAAAAGCACCTTTATAAAAATACCCCTTTTCCATTCTTTCTAGTGTAAAAATATAACATTTAGCATTCATAATAAATAGACTCTCTGCTCTGGACAGCGACTGTGATGGGTGGATCAGCTTGGCCCAAGGGGACGAATCAGCTGCAGTGTCTGGCAACCACGGAACATCCTGGAGCATCATGTGTCCAAGCAATGTCTCTGGAGCGCGGGCGACTCCTGAGTCCAGCTGCAGGGGAGCGGGTGTCTGCCACCTAGTCATGTGGCTGAGTGCGTGGGTCTAGGCCCCCGCAGCAGCTCCTCCTGGCCGGATCCCCATTCGTGCACCTCAGAGTCCCTGCTGTTGGCAGACGGCATCTCAAACTCCATCCTCCGGCGCTGGCCAAACACTTTCTCCTGTAGTTCAATGATGTCATTCCTGATGTCGGCCATCATCAGGAGCAGGAAGTCAAAGGAGCCCGGAGGGCCCTGTGGGGAGAGAAAAGAGAGGCTCGCTGTGAGCGTAGAGCTCTGTCCCAGTGGCTCAGACCGGACTGGCCAGGCTCCCGTGCTGGCCAAACATAAAGATGTCCAGGGTTTTGTTTCAGCTAGGGTGACCAGACAGCAAGTGTGAAAAATCGGGACAGGGAGTGGGGGGGTAATAGGAACCTATATAAGAAAAAGACCCAAAAATCAGGACTGTCCCTATAAAATCGGGACATCTGGTCACCCTAGTTTCAGCATACCCCAGACCCTGACTCATGGAGGTAACAATGACGCCATGTCGCAGCTGATCAATGCCAGCCTGACGGAGGTTGTGTTCAGGGAAGGGGGGAGAGTGGCAGGAAAGGGCTGGTTGCATGTAGGATAGGCTCTACTTGGCTGGGTGCCAGGGCCATCCTTAGGATTTATGGGGCCCTACACAGTATTATTAAATTGGTGCCCCTATGCCCGACGGCAGCCCGAGCTCAGAGCCTGGCCGGAGGAGGAAGGGACGAGACAGCAAAGGATAACGAGACCCCCGGCCTGCCTCACGGTGGTGGAGAGTCACAGTTCCCCGCAGAGATCCCCGTACCCTCTCCCTCTCCCTCTCCCAGAGTGGACATGCAGAAGGTACCTAATTAAAAGCACTAAACTTGGGAATAAAAAATGTCATTCACAGGTTTTTTGATATGCCCTGAAGTTTGTCAGACATCTGTTTGCAAAAACTTTGTAGTAAGGGCGAGTCAGCTGTCTTGCTGAATACAACATTAAATATTATGGAATACGTGATGCAGCTCTTCTCTGTTTTACATTTTCTTAATCAGTATTTCTAAGCTGATTTTATATTTTAAATGTACTCTTAAGCCTTCGTAAAGTAATCATTCCAGATTACTACATATTTAACTCACTGAAACAAAGCCATTAATTTAAATTCATCAGTCACAGAGGTTTAGTGTGTTCATAATGTTCATTGCTTTTAGAAAAAGAACACTAAATTAACAATACACATGTTTATGAAATTTCACCAACTTTAAAAAATATGTTTCCAAAGATTTTAGGCAGAACAAAGGATTTTATCTCTTACTAAGGTACTGATTTTGCTGGAGGGTTCTCTTAAAACTAATTCATCATATAGTCAGAAGTAAAGAAAGGGAAACTCTTTGTCCAGCTATCTGGAAGGAAAGGGGTGTTGTCCCTTTAAGGGCTCTCTTCAATGCGGGGGTGGGGGGAGAGGGGCTGAAGGGAGAAAGGGATGGACAGAAAGGACAGGAAGACTTTGGAAGCAAGTTTTTTTTACTATAGTAATTAAAATGGGTATTTTAGATAAAGGTGGTCTTTTGAAGGATTTATTTAAAAAACTATATGTCTGAAGATCTAAGCATTTAAGGCTAAAGATGATTGTGCATCTAAAAATCCATGCAAGGATTTTTTAGAGATGTGATTTTATAATCTTCAACTCACTAATGAAATATTTTTAAAGCAAATTTGAAACTAAGGTCCTGTAGACTGACATGTTCTGAGTAAATATTACAGTCATGCGCAACTGTTTTTGTCAGTAAATTCAGAAACTGACAGTAGATACCTGGGCGTTGGCAAATGCCTGTTAAATGGCTTCATTACCACTTGAATGACTCTTTAACAATTTCAATGTTGTGCTAATAGGGCTGGCAGGCTGGAGGGCTTTTTCTCTTTTAACTATTAGATCCCCTCCTGAGGAAGACTCACCAGCCTGCAGCAGCCAGCTGTGGGAGCCTGCAGGAAGGGTCAGAACAGGGATAGGAAAGCCAGGCAGGTGGACACTAAGACCCCGGGGGACCCCAAATTTTCAGGTGCCCTACACAGCGCATATGCCTAAGGACTGCCCTGCTGGGTGCTGCTAGGTACCTCCTCTCACCTCAGGATGGATTTGCTGAGAACTCCCTCTTGTGGGGTAATGTTGCACCATTGCTAGGATGCACATGGGCGGGCTCAAGTCAGGCAGATTCTGTGGGCCCGGCCTTGCTCGTTATGAACAGAAAGTTCCCTGGTCAGAGGAGTCTTTGTTAGTCATTAAAGTCGATGGAGCTACACTGATTTATACCAGCTGGGGAGGGCCCATTGACATCCATGGCGCTGCGTCAGTTTACACCACAGGGGGATCTGACCATATGTGTACAAATTACTCCTTCCTCTAGGCTTCCCATCTTCTCCCATTGTGTCTATTCATTGGATTGTAAGCCACTGGGACAGGGAATGTCTGTATTTTGTGTCTTGTCCAGGGCAGAGCATGTTGTCTGGGTTTAATGCCTACTAAAATAAGATAGATGAATTGTGGGGAGGGTGTGTGTGTGTAGGGGGGTGCGCACACTTGTGAGACACACCCAGCATCAGGCTAACCTTAGATACGTTCTCAGATCCCTGGGGCCTGATTCTCCACTGCCTTGAACCTTGTGTGGCCATTTACACCCAAACACAGTGGGAACCAAGTGCTCACGAATCAGACCCGTTGAATTTCACACTCACTTGCCCAAGGAACAAGGCAGTGGGGACTTGGGGCCCAGGATGAGGTTTCTGACCCTTGCTTTGCCTGATACTCTGTGCTGCTAATTGTTTTTCCATTCTTACCGGTGGCCCTCGGGGACCGGGGTATCCTCGTTCGCCCTAAAACAGAAAGCAAAGGTCAGAGCGGGGACTAGCAGCAGTATGATTTCTGTTGCAGAGCAGGGGATGGGATTTAAATCACTGTCAAAACCCATCTATTTGACAAGGGCACTGACGGCAGGGTCTTTCAGGTGGGGATAAAGCTGCTGTGGGATTTCTCAGCGACAGGCTGGGAAGTTAATGTTTTCCTGGATTCTGCTGGCAGGGGATATTCTGTGCTTTTGTATGTAACTGTTGTCAGGGTGCCTAGAGTCTGTGCACTGACCTGCGCCATTGCTCCAGCTGAGGGTCTGGCCTGTTGTTTGTCCTCAGAACAAGCCGTGTTGCTGGCTAGAGTTCACTCCCAAAACCAACTTGCACCAAAGATATTTTCGTAGTCACTGAGAATAAAACGACCTGTCTTGCGGCATACAGGCCCCGCTCTGGCTGGCAGGGGTTTAATGAGGGTCTGTGGCTCCAATGAGCCCCACCCTGCTACATCTGCAGCCAGTGTCAGGTATTGAGAGGGGAGTTCAAAGGAGAAGGCCCAGCTTAGTGCAGGGCTGAGCAGGCAGAAGATCAGAGTTCTGCTCTCTTGGGGAGAGGAGCCTGGTTACAGCCAGGAGTCGGGGACAGCTGGCCGCCTGGCTGAGTCTCCCTGTGGATGGGATGGCTGATCCGGGCGACTGACCAAACGGGGGCTATTTGAAGACAGCCCCAGAGCAGAAGCCTGGGGTGCTGATGAAGACTCCTCAGATGGCCCTGTTGTGAGCTCATAACTTGCTTATATTTTGGGACTGCGAGACCCAGAAGGGGTGGGACTCAAGCATGCCTAAGCTGGAGGGCTGAAGCCCATTGCACTGGACCCTGCGAGAGGCAGCGACTTACTGTCAGAGACACTGCGACAGGGTGAGTAATGTCTGGCTGGGCCACAAGGGGGAAGCACAGAGATGGGCTCCTCACTCCTCAAACACATAAAGCCGTCTGAGCAAAGCTGAATCAAATCTCATACTTAACACCTGTTCCTACAGTACCTTGCATCCTGCAGGCTCCCAAAGGGTTTTAACAAACTGTCCAGACACAGGGATCACTCACCTACCACTGAAATGCTGCCACTTCTGGGATGGAGTGCCTCACCTGTTCCGCACAACAACAGCAGGTTGACAAGATATAACCACTCAGGTTGCAATTGGGCCACGACACCGCTCATGCGGAAAGTTTTGCTGCCCAAGAGGGGGCTGCAGCTAGAATGGGGCATGTACTTGCCCCCCATGCGTCATGCCCGCTGCAGTTGGTTTTGAGACTAGAAGGGACCAGTCAGAAAAGTGAATGTTTGCTACCACTGCAGTGTGTGACCCCAGCAGAGAACCCCGGGTCCCAATTTTCCTAGTGTAGATGGATCAGAATTGGTTTGCACTGGTGTAGATAATGGCCAGAGAGGCAAGGCACTGGAGAATCAGATTAATTTTCTCTTGGCTGTAGATCACTAAAGGAATTATGTTACTTTCGCTGGGAACTGAGACACGGGACTGGGAATCAGAGCTGTGGGAGAGCCTCTTTGCAGCAGGAACCACTGTGTGTATGTGTACAGCGCCTAGCACTGTGGAGCCCCACTGGAGGCCTCGAAGACAATACAGATAATAATGGAAGCTGTGGTACCTTCTGGCCATTCCTTCCCGGTGCCCCAGGAGCGCCCTAGGAGAAGCACAAACACAGAGCTTAGCGCAGGAGTAAACAAGATCATTGCAGTTCTGGGTCTGCAGCAAGTGCATCCGGAGAGTGGAGAGAATGTGTGGCATTGGGTGGGGCTGAGTGCCTGCTAGCTGTGGGGCAGGGAGCCAGCTCCGGTGGCTTGGACAGAGGAAGGATGCTGGTGGCTGGAGGTCCAGCAAGTGGATCTGGTGATGGGAAATCCTGCTGGCTGTGGGTCTCTTGGAGAGAAGGGTAGAGGCAGGAAGCGCTTGGGACAGTGGGTCTCTGCAGGAGAGGGGAAGTCACTGAATCTGACTGGGCAGGGTTGGGTTGTGTGTGTGGGAGGGGCCCATCTGCCAGGTCTGGGCAGGGGAAAGAGCCATTGGCCGATGGGGATGGTGGGCTGGACTCCAGCGCTCTGGGATGGGGCCAGGATGCATGACCCAGCGAATGGGGCTTTTGCTACTCACCACTGGTCCCCTCCGTCCGATTTTGATATGTGCAAAGTCAGGATACGGTCCCATTGGCCCCATGTCCCCGCGGGGCCCTGGGGTTCCCGGAGGCCCTGGAGGTCCGATTGCCCCTGGACTCCCTTTCTCCCCTGTTGCGCCCGGGTCACCTTAACACAGAAAAAGGTGTTTGATTTCTGAACGAGGTCTTAAAGAAGCAGAGCAACTGAGAGCATTAATACCAGAGAAGGCCCTGGCCCAGGACCCCCGGCCAGAGGGTTTGGATCCAATCTTTACAGAGGGCCTAGCCCAAACCCCAGAGCCTACTGCTCCCAGGTTAGGGAGCGTTTCTAATCTAGATCCTGAGCAGAAATCTCTGCTTGGGTCCATCTTTGGTTTGTATCCAACTTGGATGTCAGCCCAGAACCCCCCCCCCCACTTCCCTGAGAAGCCCTAGAGCTGTGAGCCCAGCACGGAGAGTGCCAGGGCTGCTGCCCTCCTCAGGGGCGGGAGCTGGGACCAGGAGGCTGGTAACTGAAGGCTGCAGGTTTGAGGCAGTCTAGGCTGGTTTGCCCATTGCTTGTTAAGAGAAGTGTGTCTAACCCTCACTGCCCCCAACCACCACTAGGTTACCTGCCAAACAGGCAGCATTCAGGGAAGTGCTCCTGCTGGCTAGAGAGAGGCCACCTGAAAATGCTGCCACATGATAGGTGGCAGCTAAGGCCTGGTGTACGCTTAAAAATTGGAATATAAATATTGTCTTTACCTTTCAGCGTATTGTATATAGAGTGGTATAAACAAGTCATTGTCTGTGTTAAATTTTAGTTTGTACTGACTTCGCTAGTGCTTTTTCTGTAGCCTGTTATAAAACTAGGCAAATATCTAGATGAACTGATGTACCCCCAGGGGTACACCTACCCCTGGTTGAGAACCACTGACCTACACCAATGGGAAAACCCCTTCTGTCACTGTAGGAAGCATCTACAGTACAGCAGCACAGCTGCAGCACCTGTAGTGTAGACACAGCCTAAGCTACCTTCCATCCTGAAATGTGCCAAAGTATTAGGAGAGGATAATTTACTGCTGAAATGCAGCCACCTCTGGGGTGGAACGTAGCAGTCCTCGTGCTCAAGTAACGCTGCCATTTTTAGGAAGAGGGGAAAGAACATCCGCACCCACAGGGCGAATTATGGGGAGCAGGATGTAACACTCTGATAGGGGGGCAGAATTATCCCCCTAGGATTAGGTCTGCATGAGCTTCCGCCATCATCCCTGGAGCACTAAGGTCAGTGTCTTCCACTGTACCATCCACACTGCCCTAGGCCCTGCTAGTCTCCCCAGGAAAGGAGCGAGCCATGCCAAGCCCAGAGAGTTAATGCAGCCTGGTATTTCCAGGGTAGTGGGGATCCAGGCTTGAGAAATTAGCCAGGCCAAGAGGGTAACCCCAGCCCAGCTCTTGGCAAAGGTGCCATGGGGACGTAGAATGTCCATTGCTTGCTCACTGTAGGTGTTACTCCTGCAGGCTGATTGCACCAACCCAATCCTATTGCTTCCCTCTGACAAACAGGATTCTCACTTGGTCTAATGAAAACTAGTGCTGGGTCAGACCCTCACAGGCATCCAGGGTCTCCCACCCCAGCAATCTCCAGCACCCCAAGATGTACCTGGAGGCCCCGGGGGACCTGGGGGCCCTAGGACAGGAAGACGGTCTGCTGGTTTTTGGTTAATCCTCATCCAGGACTTCCCACTCTCATTATCCAAGCCAGGGAGCAGCAGCTGGGGAGGGGAAGGAAAAGAAGTGCAGACAAGCCCTGTAAGGAACGAGGGTCAAGCAACTTCTACAGCCTCATGCCCCAGGGGATAGAGTGTCTACAGAGTGATTCCCAGTGGCAGAGGCTGGAGAGCACCATTGAAAGTGGGGGACATAGATTCATCCTCCCCCACACCTGACCCTCCTCTTCCTCTCGCAACCTCCCCAGCAGCCTGACCCCTGGCCCATGAGCACCTACGCCCACCCCTTCCAAATCTGAGTGAGCGGCATTGCAACCTAGCGCACAGGGTCACAGAGCCACTCAGGTTTGGTCCAGCCAAAAAGTGGTCAGGCCATGGCCCGGGTGGTCCCCCTGGCTTCATGGCCTATGCCCAGCAGGCTTGGGAAGGAATGGGAACTTGCTGCAAAGGATATGCAGATTAGCCAAGAGAGGGAAGACCTCTGGGGAGAGGGTCCTGCCCCTTGCATGCCCCTCCCCAATGGGAGTGGCCAGAGAGTCACCTACCCCAGCACATCCTTTAAAAAAAAGCCACGTGGGCCATATTCAGAATAGTTACAAGTGGATGCAACTGCACTGACTTCCACGGTCTTGTGCCCATTTCGCATAGGTCTGAATGTGGCCCTTGGATCCATTTCTGCCCCGGCTCTGACTGGACTGACTGAGCACGCCTGTGTGATCAGGGCAACCACTTCCTGGACTACCTATTTCTTTTCAGCTCTGATTGGTGAGATTCGGTTGCGGGGTGGCAGCCCCAGGGGCCCGTAGAAGGCTGCTTCTGCAGGTTTGCCCCAGACAGCTGTTTGTCGGAGCGCTGCTAGCTGTGGCTGACCAGGAGAGGCTCAGAGGTCATTGTCCCACCTTGTGTCTCAGCTGGGAGACTGTCTGTTTCATACTGGTGAACTCCTCGCAGGTGATGGAGCAGGACCTGGTGCCCATCAGGGTCTCCGACTTGACCACTGTGGTGCCTGGAAGAGAATGACGCACCTGTGTCAGTCGGCAGCAGGAATGGGGAGAGTGGACTTGCAGCCACGGGTCAGTGGAGCTACATCTGCTTGAGCCAGGGCTGGCGTGGCCCCAGGGTCGGACAGTGCTAGCACACGATCCCTCTCCTGGTTCACGGACTCACCGTTGCTGGATTTCAGGCAGGTTGTCCCGTCAGACGCTATGTAATAGCCACGCTGGCAATGGCACCGGTAGCTGCCCGGGGTGTTTGTACACAGCTGGTCGCAGACGGCACCTCCGCTTTCCACACACTCATCGATGTCTGGGGTTGAACACAGAGAAATGTCAGCCACAGCTCAGCCAGGGGAGCACCAGGGGCCACGGAGGCCTCGTCGGGGAAATGGACGCAGAAGAAGGGAGATTCCTATGATCCTGCAGGCCAGGCCAGGAGATACACACATCCCTTCCCGATGGCAACCCTGAGGTGGGTCTCTGGGAACCTTTCCCTAGACACCTACACTGGACACTGGAGCCTAGGGATGGCTGTTGTCTGGCGTAGCCTCTCCTGCAACAGAGTCCTCCAACCGACCCCAGGCCACGGAAAGATGTCGCGTGAGTCCATTTATCACACAGGAGCTATTCCGGAGCCAGGCCATTACCACCAACCCAGGCTAAGGGCGGGTACCCTTGGGGGCACTCACCCAGGCAGTAAGGGTGCAGGTGAGTCTTGTGGCGCTCTCTGTCGAAGCGATAGCCAGGGAAGCACGTGCACAAGACACGACCGAAGTTGTCCGTGCATTGCTGCTCACACGGGAAGTCGGCGCACACGTCCACGCCTGCAAAGAGGGGCAGATGGAGCCGTGCTGGGGGTCAAGCACGGTGGGTTGGACCGCAGCCAGTGCAGCCTTGCAATTAAAATTGACCCCCCCGCCCCACATGACAGTGCCTTGCCCTGGGCCAAATCTTCAGCACGGCTCTGACTTCCCTGTAAAGATGCAGCTTTACACCAGTGGAGGATCCGGCCCCATGTGTCCTCTGCATGTGTAAGTAATTCATGGCTGGGCACTCCCCAGTAACTAGCATCCTCAACCCAATCTCTTCCTTCCACTAGGCATCCTCCTCACCTCCCTCTCCCAGCTGCCAAACCCTCCTCCCATTTCTAACTGGCAGGTGACCCAATTCCTCTCCCAAGCCTCCCAACCTAACTGCGTCAGAGCTGCCCCATCCCCACCCTCTATCTAGCAGCACCCCAGGTGTCTAGCGAGAGGGTCCCACGTTCAACAGAGACTAGAGATGAGCCTGGAGCAAACCCGGTTCCAAACATCTCTGAACTCTTGGGACGTTCCTGATCAGAACTTTGTGACCTGGACCCACCTCCACAATGAAACTGATGGACCCTTTCCCATCCAACACAAAGCAGAATGCAGAATACCTCATCTGCTGAAATACCTTATGCTCGCTGCTGAAGGTGTGATGTGTGAAAACAGAGAACTGCCATGACGTGGTGCAACAAGCAGCCCCGTCATGAGCCAACATCTCAAGAGCTTTCACCCTTGGAGCAGGCAGTGGAGAAGGCTGCCCAAATCATGCAGCAAAGTCTCCCAGAGTCTTTCCAGGTGGATGGTATCATCCTGGCTTTTGTCTGACATGATCTGTGGCTTTAGTGCCACCTGAGAATAAGTGTGGACAGAGTGAGCAGAATGGGAGAAAGCTCCTTCTTATACTTACTTTCTGGGATACACTGGCCCATCACAAATCTATAGCCCTCACAGCACTTCCTCCTGGGGGAGAGAGAGAATCAGACTATTATTTATTTAATTGTACCACCTAGGAGCTCTAGTCATGGCCCAGGGCCGCGTTGTGCTAGGTACTGTACAGACACAGAACAGACAGGAGCTGCCAATCTAAGTACAAGACAAGAGACAACGGATGGACACAGACAGATGGGTGAGCACAAGGGAACATTGAGATGCTCTTGGCCTTCATGCCGGGCAGTGGCCTCTGCACACCAGCAGTTTTTTGTAGGCCTTGTGGCAGAGGAGCGGTTTGAGGAGAGACTGGAAGGAGGCTGAGGTGGCTTTGCTGATGTTTACGAGGAGCTCCTCCCGCACGTGAGGGGCAGCCTGGGAGAAAACACAGAGGGGCTTGTTTGAAAATGTAACGTGAGCACTGGAGGCCGCATTGTGGGCCACTTGCCAGCTTGAGAATCAACGTGAGACTAACAAACGTCAGCCCAAAAGCAGTTCGCTTCTGTCACAAGCAATTGGGAGACCTCCCAGAAACAAGCAGGGCCAGATTCCCCACTGCATCGCTCCGGCATGAGGCCAGTGTCACATCGCTGAAATCAATGGAGATGTGCCAATGAAAGGAATGACTCAGGGCCATGCATCAGCCGTTTTAGGGTCTTGGCTGAATGCTGAGGACCTCATTCAGGCACTGCAATTTACAAGCCTGAAATGAGGACTCTAGGATTTGGGCCTGATTCTATCATTTACATCTCTGTGAGATTATAATCTAGAATTCCTTACATTGCTTATTATCTGTACCCCAGCAACTGAGATCAGGGCCCCGTTGTGCTAGGCACTGAGACACAAAGAATTTACAATCCAAATAGACTAGCCAGACAAAGGGGACAAAGTCAGTGCCAGAGCTGGAATTAGAACCCAGATCTCCTGAGTCCCAAACCAGTGCATTATCCACTGGACCATGCTACTTCTCTAGTAGTTATAGAACAGCTTCAGCCCTGAAGTGCTTTACAAGCATTGGGCCCACTTGTCCCCTGTGCCTTCATCTTTCTCCCGCCTTGACTTTTGCTGACGCTGGAGCCTGAGGATGACATCGGATCACTTTGTTGGATACCTGCACCACAGCTGTTTCTGAGGAGCCCGTGCGTAGGAATTTTTTTTCGGGACCTTTCCAAATGTATTCATAGCTGGACTGATTGTTCCCTCCCCTTTGTACCCCCAAAGAGGGTGGCAGTCACCCACTGTACCACAAGGGGGCAGCACCACCACGGTGTCTCTTGTATCTACCAATCTCTGTGTTTGAAGCAAAACCCGGAGGGTGGAATGTGCTGACTGGCCTCAGCAGAGGCCTTGTTGAAGGGGTGCGAGAGGCGGGATCAGCCAGGTGCCCAAAGCACTGCCCTTTCTTTCAAGCCACCCAGCTGACCCTGCCCTGGCAATTGTGCTGGAACCAGGAAATGGAGCATGCTGGAAGCCACCTCTGATGTATGCTGTCCCCTTTAGCTCTGCTGCACTCTAGTTAATAAAAACAGCATGGAGGAGGAGCCAGCGGGACACCTACCATCTCTCTCTCCCTGCCCCTCCCCTGCTGTGTCTCTGCCCTCTCTGTCTGGCCCGGCACACTTCTCCAAATCTGAGTCTCCACTGAGGCCATCCTCCATGTTACTTCTGGCATTGTGAGGCTCCCAAGAAAGGCTGTTGACCCACTGTGAGTCTGGGCCTCTGCTGGCTCTGATCCCATGGCCCCAGCCCCCTAGGAAACGAGGATTGGAGCAGTGACGCAGAGTCAAGAATAAGAACCCAGGAGTCCGACTCCCCTTCCAACGCGCTCAGCAGTTGATTGTTATGCAGCAATAAGGGATTCACTGACAGCTTAAAAACCTTCCACTGCAGACTGAGCCCCTAGTCTCCTGAAGCCATGTCTCAAGCCCTAGAAGGGACGGGCGAACAAGAACACAATGGCATTGAGTGTAACAGGGCACTATGGGGAGCAAAGATGGGTTCCCAGCACTGGCAGGGCGTTGAAGCTGGAGTCTGACCTGCCACAAGCGTGCTGCTCTGAAGAAGCTAATTTCTCTGAAGACTGGGCCTTTTAGTGATGGGGCACTGCTTCCCCAGGGGAAGAATGGGTTGGCTGGAGAATAAGCAAGAGCGGATGGTACCCCAGGCTCTAGCCGAATTTAATGTTGATGTCTACAGAAGCCATGTGCTGAGAAGGGAAATCTGTCCACCGCCCTCGGTGCTTTCATTAAAGCCGGGGCAGGCTGTCAACATGAGACACGTCTGTGTGGAGCGGCGTCCTGACGGACTACACGCCGGCAAGGTTTGGAACGAGGCCGCCTGCTTTTAACTCTGCTCTCTGCGCCGGAGGAAGTGTTCAGCCCCAGGAGAGAGGGAGCCAAGAACGGAGCCAGCGCTAAAACTAGAGCCAGTAGAAAAGCTTCTGTGGGAACGTCTGTCCCTGTTTGGCAAAAGCTGATTTGACTAAATCAAAATGTTTCCTGGGACTGTCTCATTTTTGGTGAATTTTCAAGGGGAAATGATTGAAATGCTGTTTCGATAAGGTAAAAATGTTTCATTTAGACCTTTATCAACACGAAACATTTTGATAAAGTCAAAATGCTTCAATTGTATTGTTTTGACCCATCTCACCCTGACCAGTCGGCACTGCCACACTGACCCCATGGGCAGGAGGACGCGAGCCAACCTGGCCTTGAAAGAGTCTGGTTGTTGTCCCACCTGGTGCGGACCTGACACTTGTAGCCGGGTCCTGTTGCCTTTGGGTCAGGTTGCAGGGCTCTATGCCGTGTCCTGCTCTGGGATTTGGGCAGGTGGCAGGCTGTGCCAACCAGAGCTGGTGATGGAGACCAGAGCAGGGGCTGCAGAGAGCTGCCCAGCATTCAGCTCTCTAGCATTAGCGCTCTCCACCGACCTGCCCTCCCTTTCCTGCTTGGTTCTCAGCACTGCACTCCCCAGACCAGTCAGAGCATCATGTACATGATCATTGGCCTCTGCTTTATGTAGCCTTTCCTGTTGAGAGAATAGCTGGGTTAGCTGCTATGCCATTCTCTGCAGCACCTCCTGCTGGGAGAGACTGGGACTGCAGTGTGTTTAGCTTCCTGTGCTGCCCACCAGGGAGAGCCGTCACTTTCCTGCTCCCAGGTGTGATTTCCCTGGAGAAAGGCATTTTGGCTTGGAGCTGCCAACCTCTTCCTTGGGCTGTATCTGAGCAGTTTGTTTTCTTGCTGGAGCGGGGTGCTGGGGAGGCCCTGTCTCACGCCTTTCACTTTTCTTTCATCAGAGGGCAGCTTTGCTCATGTCTCTGGTTTGTTTGTTTTACACCCATATCTGCCCCTGTTGCCGTGCGTCACATTTTCCTTTCTTAGCTTAATTAGCCTCACCATGAATCTTCTGCCCCATGCTGGGTAAAGTTACTGGATCCCCTCTCCTAGCCAGGTCACAGAACTGCTGGGGGCTGAAGTGGGACTCTGACAGTGACAAAGGACGTAAAGCAGCTGGTGAAAGAGCAGGGGGCAGAGGGGGCATGTGGGAGTACAGAAGTGGGGCCATTGCAGTCGGAGGCAGTCTGTGCCAGGGGTTAGAGCACAGGCCCGAGAGCCAGGCCTTTTGGGTTCCGCTATTCCTGGCTCTGCCACTGACTCACTCTGTAACCTTACGCAAAAGCCCCTTCCCCTCTCTGTGCCTCAGTTTCCCAGTCTTTAAAAGGGGGATAACACCTCCCATCCTGGTAAAGTGCTTTGAGATCTAAAGCAAACTAAACCAGTCATGGGAGGGGGAGGAGATAGGGGGAGCAACACCCCCAGAGCCTGAAACAACACTAGCTCCTGCTGCATGTTCTGCCTTCCTGCCCCTCAGGTGGGGGCTGGGGAGCAATGGCCGTCCAGCTTCTGGGCCTGCTTCACTCTCTAGGGCTGCACAAAGGGAGAGCTGGCCAGGATATGTGGGCAGAGGGCCAAGATCTCCCATCTCTCTGCTACCCACTCCATACCCCCCATTTACCGCTTTAGAGGAGGGAGGACAGTCAGCCACCCTCTCACTTGGCTCCTTCCCTCCATTATTTAAGCTTTAGTTTAAAACAAAGTTTCCCGCCCCTCTGCTTGCAGAGAAAACCTTTTGGGGGTGTGGTGCTGCCTGCCTGAGTCTGCAGCCAGCCAAACACTGGGCTGCGTTCTGCTCCCACTCGTCTGCATGTAAACTCGGTTCCAGGGAAGTCAATGGCACCGCACTGCTGTAAAGCCAGCGGGAGTTAGGTCAGACTTAGGCTACCTGGCTCTGAGAGAGGGGGGCCTCGATGCTGGAGACTAACAACAATTTCAACTCCCCCCCACTTATTTAGCCCGGTCTAGCAGAGGCTTGTCCTGGAGTATCTTAGATCTTCACTCCGCACCCCCCTGCTCCTGCCCCACATAACTCCTTTGCTTTGCTTTCCTCTGCACCACCCACTTTGGTAGGCCTTATTCATTTGGGCTGATGTGCTGGCTAATACCTGTGAAAGAAAAAATCCCAGCTTGGAGGTTTGTTTCCCTTGCTGCTACAGGCAGTAGCATCACCCCCAATGCAATTTCTCTCCTGATGTCTATTTCACAGTGGGCTGGGTGAAAGGGAATGGGAGATCAGTGGCAGGGGAAGTGGGAAGTACATCCATCACCACCACCTCTGCATGGTTGGTGGATGCTTCTAATGAGAGAGAGAGAGCCCAGGGGTATGTAAGTTTCATCTGTCTGATGCTAGAAGCAGGGCAGCGGTGACCTCGTGGGAACAGATTGGCACAGAGGCAGTTGCTACTGTCTGGGAACTGCTGTGCAGCCGGGGCTCAGAGACGAGACAGAGCGATCCCGGCCCTCTAGGGAGAGAGCAGGGAAGGAGAGCAGAGACCACCAGCCAATGTCAGCTTAGTGCTCCAGACGGGAAGCGGGGAGCTGCGTCCCTGGGAACAGAACGAGGATGGGAGAGTCTGGTTAAGAAAGTCAATTGAATCCCCATGCAGGGGGGATAAGAGTCCAGACCACCCTGTG